GTAGCCCCGCCTCTCCGCGGCGCCCCCTGGGATCCGGCTTGGCGGTGTTCTGAGTAAACTGAAGTTTTGGACTAGAGACCTCGCACCTGTTTCACGTTTGCTGCTTGCATCCCCATTGATTGGGAATGACGGAAGTTCTTTCCCGCCCTCTTTCCAGTCTTAGCCGCCCTGGGAGTCACTCCACAATCCACAAGCTCCAGACGCTGGTGAGTACGGGAGGGTCGAGGGGATGGAGCGCTCCTTGACCCTGAGCCTGCAGTCGTCCTGCTCTCCACCCCCGCGGAAACGGCTGTAAGCGACTGTCCCGGGTGGCAGAGCCCTGTTCTGTCACACATTTGCTGTGGAACCGGGATAGGCCTCTGAACCTGTTTTCTCACCACCTTATCAGAATGTAAGGGTATAGGTATACTATGCTGCTCTCTTATTTATCTCTGGTTCTGCTCTGGTTCCCTATTGGGTCTTTTCCATGCCTTCTGTTTCTCACAGTTCTTAGCACCTCACAGCCTGGATGTGTTTAGTAAATTCTGGCTGGCTGATAAAAGAGTGATAGCTAACATTTATGGAGCACTTACCATATGCTTTACAAATATCTCTCAGAATTCTTGCACCAACCTATGGAGGTAGGTTTAAAATTAGATCCAGTTTACAGATGAGAAAATTGAGGCTCAGAGAGGTAAAGTCACTTCCTCAAGGTCACAGATATCTGTAAGGGGTGAAGCTGAGATTTGAAATCCACAAGGCTGTGTGACTGATTTTGCTATGTCTGGTAGGATTATGTTCCATGGCAGCGGTCCAAGCAGAAAGTCAAATCATCCACTGTGCTTCCAGCCCTACATACCGGCAGCCGTAAGAAGAGCAAAGCGAAGACTTCTTTTAGAGACCAGCCAGGTGAGCAGATGCACTTGGGGGCTGGTGTGAGAGTTGGGGATAGGATAGGGTGGATGCTCTTGGCCCTTGGTGACACCATTTATATTAGGGTAGGCTAACTGCTTTAATCCACAATTCCCAGATTTCAAGTATTAATACAGAAGCTTATATCTCACATATGTCAGAGTGTATTTGTGGATTTTGGCAGGAGGAGATAATCTTTTCTACATGATTATTTAGGGACCTAGGCTCCTTTAACCTTGTGGCTATAACATTTTGTAAGGCCTTAAAGTCTTCTGCTGGATACTTTTGCATCCAGGTGGCAGAGAGGGAACAGAGAAAGCAGGAATATGGATGATTTTGTGGGCAGTTTTTTTCAGGGCCCAGATTTGAAGTGATACAATATCACTCCCACTCATATTCCAATGGCCCAAACTCAGTCATCTGACCACCCCTAACCACAAAGGAAGATGGGAAATGGAGCCCAGCTGTGTGTCCAGGAGGAAAAGAAAACAGGGCTTGGTGTATTCAGGATCATCTCTGCCACATCATTGTCATGTCTTCCAGGGGAGTTCTGAGGCCTTGGCTCAGACAGACATGGCTTCAGATCTTGGCTCTGCCATTTACTCTCTTGGGAAAGTCATTTATCTCTGTTTTAGTTTTCTCATTTGTAAAATGAGGACACTAATACTTACCTGACAGGATTGTTGTGAGAATTAAATGAGAAGATCTCTTTAAAGCATTGTTGCTTAACCTCACCAGACCCAACACTCCTTTAATAACAAATATTTTGTAATATTTCTTTAATATCCTGAAATAAACTTTACAGATAATATAACCTACCTACATATATAGGTGGAGAGAGTGTGGGCACTGGAGAAATATAGACTTGAGTTGGTGTTCCAGTTTCTCTTCTTGCTAGCAATTCCATCTAAGTTACCTGTCACGACCTCAGTTTCCTTCCCTGTGGATATGGGCACAAAGATTCCTGTCTTTGTTTTTTTTTTATTTTTATCCTTACCCGAGGATATTTTTCCATTACTTTTCAGAGAGAGTGGAAGGGGGTGGGGAGAGAGAGAGAAACATCGACGTGAGAGAGACACATTGATTGGTTGCCCCTGGCACACATCCTGACCAGGGCCGGGGGTGGAGCCTGCAACCGAGGTACGTGCCCTTGGCTGGAATGGAACCCAGGACCCTTCAGTCCATGGGCCGATGGTCTAACCACTGAGCCAAACTGGCCAGGGAAAGATTCCTGATCCTTCTTGGGATGATGTGAGATGACAATACCTGTGTGATGAGGTGTAGCGAGGTGAATGAGGTAGGCGTTGTGACATAGCATTAGGCTGCTACTGACCTTCTGATGATATATCAGAAGCAGGATCATTGACCATGAGGATGTCATGTCTTCCACCCACAATTTAATGCCTTTTCCATCTTGACTAAGCAATTACCATGCTCTGTGGCTGTAACTTGTGCAGTTTGAGGCAGCAAAACTAGCTCAAGTTTACCTTTCCTTCACAATTTCACAATTTCTTTTTTTTTTTTT